AAGCAGCAGCGACAGGTACTGCCACTGTGGTCCTTGTTCCCGATGCTGTGGATCATCTACAGGGCTCCTGCTTGGGGTCAGGCCCTATGGACAAGGATTTCTCACTAGCAGGGCCTGTTACGAGTATCTCTCCCGTCATCAGGAACTGCAGAATCCCCTTATTTCTTGCTCTGTTGAGATCATGTGTGGGTGGGATAAGGGGACGTTCTTTCTCCAGCATCACTTAGCCTGGCTCATGGCAGAACTGGGACTCAGATCTGACCCAGAACGAGCAGATGGCTCCCCTTTCGCTCCACCTGCCGCTCCGAACCTGCCACAGGCTTCGCCAGGCGAGCTCGGCGGCGACTGTGCATGTTTATCCAAGAGCTGTGGCTCCACGCAGTAGCTGCAGGTCTCCAACAACATGCCAGAGCAACGGGAAGGTCTTTGACTGCTGGGCCCCGTTTGCCTGTGGCTGTCACTCGCCCCTCCTATATGTTTTCAGGAATTGAGGTGTTTTTTCTTCCAAGGCGCTGGTGGTTTCTGGGTGGGGTGTGTCGGCAGCGCTTACTCCCGAGTCTGCAGCCTGTTGCTGACACTGGGGGACGTTGCCGTGTCTTCCAGGGTTGCGTGGTGTCTGGAGCTCGCTGGGCCGATGGCCTCCCTGCCTGGTAAGACCCGAGGTGAGAGCACACACCCTTGTCAGAGCGCTGGAGCACCGCCCTCCAGATCCCTTTCCCATCAGATCTGAGTACCGATCTCGTGGTCGAAAAAGGAGGAAAAATAAAATTCAGACTGGTCTCGGCCTCTTTGCTGGTGCAGTCCTGCTCTGAGAGGGGCCGGTTGGAAGACAAGTCTCTTGTGTTGGCCTTGCTTCTTCGGGAAGGCTGGGTGGGAGTGAAACTCTCTGGCCAAGAGAAGGGATAAACGTTGGGCATGGAGAACAGAGGGGTCGTGAAGATTTGCAGGCTGGTGTTTGCTTGGGCGGGATGTGATGTGTTATTCCTGGAGTACAGCAGCCCATCGGCTTCAGATACTTACCCTGCGGCTCTTGGTGGTTTTTTTTCAGGAATTACTTGCTTAGTGGAAAAAGCTGAACGCTTATCAGCCCCTGTGCCCGGTGAAGGGGTCCGGTGTGCTTTCCTTGGGGCCCAGCTCGTGGGGAAGCTGTGACATGGAGCCACGTGAGCGTCCTCTGTGGATAACTGCTGGGCGTTGGTGTCCTCGTGAGCGGGATCTCACCAGTCCTAGAGGACAAAGGACAGGTCAAGCTGGAAGTGGCCAGTGCTTAATCTGGGTTTTCCAGGTGGGAATGCTTGACTTCATTAGTGAGGTTTTTAACTGGGCAGTGTGGTGTCTGCAGGGCAGAGTGGTGGTGAGATCAGTTGCACCACACCAACCCTCTGAGCACAGACTGGTCCGTGATGACCCCTTTCTTTGGAGACTGGTGGATGAATCCTGCGGATATGGGGCTGAGGCCAGGTGTGAACCATCAAACCACTGCCCGGTGCGGGAAGAGGGCTCGGCGGGGAATTCCTTAATGTGGGTGAAATCCGAAGCTGTGCCGAGTCAAACTGCTCTTTGTTCAGGCTGGATTGTTTTTTATCTCCTCTTCAGGTCGGAGTATGGAGCAGAGACAGGCATTTCCTGAGGGTGTCGGTGCTTCAGTGCAAGACTTTGGTCTTTTCCAGCCCTCTCCTCTGGAAGTGGGAGTTCTGCACAGCCAGATCCTGACTCCTTCCTGAGCCGTGAGCTCCCCGAGGTGGGAACACCCGCTCCGCAGGGAGAGGGAACTTGTTTGGCTCCAGGTGCTGCTCCAGCTCCCATTTCAACACAGTCCCTTCCATGAAGTTTTCTCAGGAGAAGAGCTTGGGGGCGGGTCTGGATATAAAACGTTTTGAGGGTGAATAAACGCAATCGCTTGAAACTCTTTGCTGTGTCCCTGTGCTGGAGTTTGGGGTGTGCTGGTCTGGGGGGTCTGTGACACCCTTACTGGGGCTGGGGAGCGCCGTGTCCTGAGGGGGAGACTTGACTCGGGAAATACAAGCAACAACTGCCTGAGGTTACTGGTCCTGCAGGGTGAGGTTCTGCTGGTTCTGTGGCTGTGCTGGTCGCCTGCATCTCCAGGTGCTGGGGTGTGACTGGGATTTGCTTTTTTGCCCTGGAAGTGAGTGTGCCTGACCATTTCTTTGTTCAGCATGTTAGTGCTCCTCATCAACGGAGCCCTTTGCGCTCCGGAGCCGTGTTGACCAGGAGCCTTTGCCATCCCTCCAGCCCCCGGAGCTGATGCTGCGCTCACTGCTGGAGCTTCTTCCTGGCCAGTGGGGTCCTGGGTGCAGCAGAACCGCGTGGGAAGTCTCGGAGGTGCACGGAATGGTGCCTGCCCAGGCAAAGGCAGCATCTCCAGTGTGCCCAGCGGTGCTGTGCTGGGGCTGTGGTGACTCGAGTCACCCCTTTTCTCATGATGGGGAACAAACTGGGGGTGAAAACAGCCCCGCAGCTTCCCGGTGGGGGGGTCTGTTATTCCCTGTCTCTGCCCAGGCGTGAGGAGGGGGAGGGCTGGGCGATGGCAGAGTCCTCGCCACGGCGGCGGGTGACCCGGGCTGTTTGCAGAGGGCACCTTTGTCTGGGGGGTGCAGAGTCTCTGCCTCTGATCCTTTTTCTCTTCTCCCCGTGGAGGCTCG